AAAAACAAGTCTTGTCAAACCCAAGTTTTGGCACTGTGCTCTGAGTCATCGCCAGCGTGTTTGGTTTTACGACCAAACATGGCGTTGTTACAACGTCCCTCTAGATAAATGCCTGATTGAAAGGGTTTTTTGAAGTGATGTTGTGTTAAACTGCTGTCTTCATACATGGCCAAAATTTTTTTTATCATTTTGGATGAAGGCTTTAATAGAAGGAGGACACAGCTAAATTGCACTGACAAAAGTTCAGTATCCTTTAATTTTTATCTACAGTGAGTGGATGATCTAAGTTGAGATTTCTTAGCCTTTGGTGCCCTAGTTTTTAATTTTTAGTAGGTCTGTAGGAGCATCTACTCTTTAATGGTATCCAACAATGGTAAAACCAGAAAGTATGTGATAGAAGATGGTATCATCTGCTAAAATTATCATTTTGGAGATTTACTCAGAATCTCCTTATACGCATTTTATCTGTCTTTACAGCAACGTTTTTCCACTCACTCTTAAATGCCCCCCCCCCCCCTTTTTTTTTTTTGAGTTTGGCCAGACAAAGTATGACATGAAGACATGGGGCTATTTTTATGTGACTGTTATTTTAAAACAGGGTTAAAGAGGATAGTTCAGGGCTTAATTGTTGTTGTTATTACAGCTGGAAAGCCTTTTAGTTTTCAGACAGCCCTACAAGCCCATTGTTACACAAACACACAAGCATATAGGCTGGTGTTTGTCTATCTAACTTTCACTCAAATAAGGTCATGTAGGCAATAAAGTTTTAACTTAGAGGGTAGTAACATCAGAGGCTACATGCTAATGTACTTGACTCAAAAGTGGTTCTCTTTAAAAAGGGTTAAGTGTTGTCTTTTCATAGAAAACCATCATGATAGTTTATCAGATGCTCATTAAGGGAGGAAACACAAAAGATTTTACTCCAGAGTGGGGAATAAGGATGTGCTTAACCAACTGAACCATACCTTATTGGTAGCCAGTTTGAAAATTTGTATTAAAACAATCAAACCAAACACAAGACTCTTTCATGAAGATAGTACTGTTAAATGATAGAACAGCCAATTCCCTATTGATGCTCTCTCTGGCAGTTTAGAAGTCACTGATGGAGACGCTCTCTTACATAATGTTCTAGTTCTTGGGTGGGCAATCCTGGTCCTGGACCACAGCCCTGCATGTTTTACTTTTTTCCCTGCTTCAACACACCTGATTCATCATTGAATTCTGAGTTCTGCAAAAGCCTGATAATAGTCCAAGAGATAGACCATGTTTATCTGCATAAAAAATACCAGCAATTTTGATGGTACCCCATTAAAGTACATTCCTTCCAGGTGTAAAAAAAAATATTTCTTACTTAATTTCTCCTGGACACAAAGTCAGAGTTCAAGATTAACTCTAAAAATCATGACTTTGACTATGTCTATATAATATCTGACCATAATCGCCAGATGTTTTGCTTCAGACCTGTTTTTTTTTGTACCAAAATGTTAAAAACTGATTGTTTAACTAAATCCAGATAACTAATATTAAGCTTATGAAGCCATTTACAGCTGGCATCCACAAAAAGGGCCAAAAAGTATCAAAATTTGAGCTTATTTAGAAAATTTGGTCATGCACTATCTCCAACTGTTCTTAATTGTTAATTAAGAACAATTATAAACCATTCATTCAAATCAGGTGTGTAAAGTGAAACGTGCAGGGCTGCGGCCCTTGAGGATCAGGATTGCCCACCTGTTCTAGTTACTTTTTACATTTTAATTTTGTTTATTTTGGTGCATTGAATTGTAAATTTAACAT